TGGGTTGTACCCAAGAGGCCTGAGGATAGTAGTGTCTGGTCATTGTTTTTTTATCACAGCAACAGAAAAGTAACTAATACAATGAATAAACCTCAAGCTGGAAGAATACATTTATAATCTACAAATTTCATCTAATGAACTCAAGAGTTAGACAAATCACCTTCATAGGGAAGTAGATAAAGCAAAGCTAGAGTTAGGGGCAGTTGTGAGTCACCTGATGTGAGTGCTGGGAACCAAACTGGTCCTCTGAGGGAGCAATACATCCTTTTAACTGCTGAGCCATCTCTCTAGCTTTAATGACTGGTAATTTTAAGGGCTGGCACACAATGGAAAAACTGGAGTGCTCGTTAACCATTGGTTACAGTATAAAGTAGTATACTTTCTCTGTTTTCAATACTTAGTAGTCAACAACATGTACTAGAAAATATATTATGCATGTGAAATTTCAACTCTATGTTTATGTTCTAGCCTAGACCATGCTACATTAGAGGAAAACAGAATTTGTTTCTAGTGACATGGGCATGAATAATGAATAAAAGTACATTTTTTTAAAGATTCTAAACTTCTTTGACAGTGAGTATATCTGTACTTTGTATTTTTCTTTTGAAAACTTCCTTTTCACTGTAATTTTTTTCTTTCTTAAAAAGGCACATCTCTTCCTTATTCTGGATTTTTGCTTTCTTCTGGAATGTAAACACCATCAGAGCAGAAAATATACAATTCAAGAAGGTAATGCCATGAGAAATATTATGAAACAAAGAAAAATGGCAACACAGTTTACTCTAAAAAACATAAAGTTAAAAACAAGATTATTTATATAGTGTTTAAAAACTACCCCCTAAAATATGCTGTATTGTTTAAGGATATATTTGAGTTAAGAACATACAAGTGAGTAAGAAAGACATTCTGAGGAAAGAAAGAGAACAAAAACTTTGGAGCTAAGGAAACTTTGAGTTTGCCTCCTTTTACCTCCCTTTAAAAAGAACTTAATATGGCAAGTATTAATGTTTGTTAAATTTAGGTAGTAGGGATGCAGGTGTATTTGCATTTGTTTGTTTTAAGCATTTCAGAATCAGGGCCAGTGAGATAGCTCAGTAGATTAAAAAAAAGCACTCGCTGCCCAGCTTGAGGACCTGAGTGATCCCAGGACTGACATGGTGGAAAGAGAGAACTCTTGTAAATCACCCTCTGACCTCCACATTCACTCTGTGGCACATACATACACAATAAATAAATGAGTGTAAAAACATTTTTAAAAAATCATTAAAATTTAAGACAAAACAAATCTTTAAAAATATTTGATAGTAATAGGCAGAAACTTCTAAAATGAAATTACTCGGGGCTGGAGAGATGGCTCAGCAGTTAAGAGCACCGACCACTCTTGCAGAGGACCCAGGTTTGATTCCCAGCACCCACATGGTGGCTAACAACCATCTGTAACTCCAGTTCCAGGGGATCTGTCGCCTTCTTCTGACCTCCATGGGCATTTCATGACATGGGTGCACTTAAATACATGCAGGCAATACACTCACACACACATAAAATAAAAATAATAAATGATATATTTTAAGAAAAGAGAAATTACTTACAGGCCAGGATGGTGGAACAGAAATTACTTCTGGGGTATGAAAATAAGCAACACCATTATGGTACGTATAAGGATATCCAGTTGAAGTGGTTAGATACATTGTTCCAGCAGCTGGCATTATACTAGAACCTAAAGCAAAGATCAAATAACAAAAATGGAAATGCTCAATTTAACTTTATAGACGTAATTTCTGAATGCTATTTGGAAAAATATCTTTAACACATTTACATAGCTACAGCAAAATGTTGTATTTAAAATTTCACGTATTAAAGTATCTTCGAAGAATATATTTTATCTTTTAAATTTTATTTATTTAT